AGGCAGCACCACCACGCGGAGCTCTGGGGAGAGCACCGTGGTTTTTGCACAACGCGGGACTGCTGAGTGAGCCACGGTGCAGCCACGGGTGGCCCGGTACAGCCATGTGCTCTGGAGCCTCCTGGTGCCTGGAATGCTCGTGGCATGGTACGAATTAGGGGTGGGTCATGTGTGCACGCACATGTATATGTGTACACGTGTCTATGTATGGATCAGATAGTCAGGAAAGTCATGACAGTTTTTTGCAAAGAAAACCAAGAAAATGTCATGACGTTCCTGATGAACTAAAACATACATGAGTATGCGTGTACATTATATGTAATAGCGGCTCAACTAAGTAAACACACGATGCCCCAGAAAAACCCAGGGAATAGGGTTTTTAAACCAGTCTCCCAGCGGCTAGATCTCGATGCTGCCATTTGAAGCAATTCGTCCAGGACACGTCGGGGCCACAGAGGGCTCTGCAGCAGCTCAGGACAGCGCGGCAATTCGGGATGTGGTGCCGTAAGTATCCAGCCTGCCCCTAAGTGGCTACGTGACCCCAGAGAAACTAACAGCTTCTCTGGGCTTTGGGGGCCTGTCCCCTCCCAAGTCACTAGTAACAGCACCAACCGCCTCAGCCCAAGAAGGCCCTGGGATGGGCAAGCGACAAGAGACAGGAAGGGCACGCCATAAACCACACGTGGCCACGCTCAGGTAAGATCCCGATCAGTCCAAAGACGCTCAGTGTTTCTGGTTCACTGTCCATGCTTAGGCAAACCATTTCAAAACTTCGGCTTCAATCTATTTTAAAAATTGGATATATGGGGGTGGCTGGTGGTTAAGATGCTGGACTCCCACGTGGCCGACCACGGTTCGAGTCCCTGACCTGGTGGTTTGCTTTCTCCCTTTCTCTCTCTCTTTGGTCAAATTAAAGAACAATAATGATGGGACCAGCAGTTGGTGTAATTGGTATGTCATTGGACTCCCATGTAGTCGACTACGGTTCGAGTCCCGGACCTGATGGCTTAAACTCACGCCGGATGCGTGTGCGTGCGTGCCCAAGATCCCGAGAGGAGAATGGAGGAGAAGGGATTGCAGCGTGACCATCCCCACTGGGGGGTGATTTCTCGCTTTCTGTCTCTCTGTCT